CGGACCGCGAGATCGTGACCTGGCTGAAGTCGGACGCTTAACCGACTGCGCCACCCAGGCGCCCCTGTTTTGTTTTTAATGTTTATTTTTGTGGGGGTGGTGCAGAGAGAAGGGAGAGAGGAAATCCCAAGCAGGGTCTGCACTGTTCACACACAGCCCAATGGTGGACTTGAAATCCTGAACCTAGAGATCATGACCTAAGCCAAAGTTGGATGCTTAACTGACTGAGCCACTAAGGCACCTCCCCACCCCCATCCACAAATCTTTTGTCCTGCAACCAGAAATCTTTGTGGTTGTGACATATAATGTACGTATTTATAGTGTAAAATTTGGTAAGTTTTGATACGTACATACCAGTGAGATCTTAGGGATTAATTTGTATAAAGGTTCAACATCTTGGGGCACCTGGATGGCTCAGTTGGTGGAGCATGCGACTCTTGATTTTGAGGTTGTGAGTTTGAGCCCCATGTTTGATGTAGAGATTACTGAAAACTTTTTTAAAAAGGTAACAGCATTTTTCCCAGTGTTATTGTTGTGTTGGTTTTGATATTGGTGGATCTCTTACAGTGAAAATTTTTAATTTTAATGTAATGGCTTAGGCTGCACGATTGAGTACTTTGTTATCTAATTCCTCCTTTCTGCTCTTAGTTTAGGGGTTAATGAGACTGTTTTGAGGGGAAAAAATATGTTCCTTCACTTGTTAACTGCTTTTTGTTCAGTTAATTATTGCTTCACTATGGTTTTGTATTTTCTGAACACATTGTGAAAATTATCTTAATTTCTTTCTCTTCTTTTTATTTTTTTTGTAGGTGTGGTGAAACTGGTCATGTAGCCATCAATTGCAGCAAGACAAGTGAAGTCAACTGTTACCGCTGTGGCGAGTCAGGGCACCTTGCACGGGAATGCACGATTGAAGCCACAGCTTAATTATTTTCCTTTGTCGCCCCTCCTTTTTCTGATTGATGGTTGTATTATTTTCTCTGAATCCTCTTCACTGGCCAAAGGTTGGCAGATAGAGGCTACTCCCAGGCCAGTGAGCTTTACTTGCCGTGTAAAAGGAGGAAAGGGGTGGAAAAAAATCGACTTTCTGCATTTAACTACAAAAAAAAAGTTTATGTTTAGTTTGGTAGAGGTGTTATGTATAATGCTTTGTTAAAGAACCCCCTTTCCGCGCCACTGGTGAATAGGGATTGATGAATGGGAAGAGTTGAGTCAGACCAGTAAGCCCGTTCTGGGTTTCTTGGATATGTTCCCATGTAGGAGGTAAAAACAATTCTGGAAGTATCTATGAGCTTCCATAAATAACTTTAATTTTAGCATAATGATGGCCTTGGATTGTCTGACCTCAGTAGCTATTAAATAACATCAAGTAACATCTGTATCAGGCCCTACATAGAACATACAGTTGAGTGGGAGTAAACAAAATAAAAAGACAAACGTGTGTTAATGGCTGTGCAAGAAAGATCGGGATAAAGGCCTAAACAGGAACAACTTCATCACAGCGTTGATGCTGGATATACATAAGGTGATGACAAAGGTTTAGAACACATTTTTTTCAAAGACTAAATCTAAAACCCAGAGTAAACATCTAAGCTCAGAGTTAGCATAATTTGGAGTTATTCAGGAATTGCAGAGAAATGCATTTTCACAGAAATCAAGATGTTATTTTTGTATACTATATCACTTAGACAACTGTGTTTCATTTGCTGTAATCAGTTTTTAAAAGTCAGATGGAAAAAGCAACTGAAGTCCTAGAAAATAGAAATGTAATTTTAAACTATCCAATAAAGCTGGAGGAGGAAGGGGAGTTTGACTAAAGTTCTTTTTGTTTGTTTCAAATTTTCATTAATGTATATAGTGCAAAATGCCATATTAAAGAGGGGAATGTGGAGGACTAAAAGCTGACAGTTTGGACTTTTCTTTGTGTACTAAGTCACGTCTTAGTAATGAAAAATACCTGTTATAAGGAAGCATAGGCTTTAGCTATTTAGGTGTCTGTTTGCGAAGATGTAAAAGTTTTATTTCTCTTTGTAACCCATTATATTGCTGTCCTTGAGCTCTGGTGTTCACTCTCAATAGTTTTAATGCCATTGTTGTTATGTTTTTATTTTTTATTTATTTTTATTTTTGAGAGTGAGCAAGTGGGGGAGGGGCAGAGAGACACAGAATCTGAAGCAGGCTTCATGAAGCTGTCAGCACAGAGCCCCACTTGGGGCTTGAACCCACAAACCATGAGATCGTGACCTGAGCCAAAGTCAGACGCTCAACCAATTGAACCACCCAGGTGCCCCCATTGTTCTGTTTTAGCATTTAACAGTTTTCCTGGGCTTCACAAGGATCTGAAATGTTAGATTGTTTTTTCTAGGATTTGATCTAGAGTTGAGGTGGACCTTAGAAATCATTTGGTTTAAGGAACTCACTTTGTACATGACTTACTGGAAACTTGGTTGAAAAATGTATGGCTATCTAGAGCCTAGAACCTAACTCCAGTATCCTTCCTGTCTTGTGTCCTCTTCTTTTTTTGTTCCCCACTCCCCATAAGCTAACTATAGTTAGTGGCTTATGCCTTCCTGACTTAGTTTATTGTTTTTCCCCTCCATGTGATTCTTTGCATTGGATGTATTGTGAATTTTCATCCTCGTGTGATATATATCATTGCACGATTAAGGTGTTGGTGCCTCAGCCATGCTATGCTAATTCCTACTTTGTCAAATTAACAGTCAAAAGCAGGCAAAAAAACGAAGTCCTGTCGTGTAGGTCCGTTCACTTACGAATACAAGCTTACAAGTTCCTTTTTCATTTGATATTTTTACTGAGCAAATGGTATATCTCAGATGTTAACTAAGCAGCATCTTGATAATTTTTCTTTCTACTGCAAATAGTGTAAGGGAAGACCTGTTTTCAAGGGGATCACTGTTCAATGTAGTTAAATTCAGGTTTGGGGGTGGTGCACACGGGGCTATTTTCCTATGAGGTTTCTGGCCTCGAGTTAAAAAACCCAGCAAGTGAGATACTTAGAACTGCTTTGCTTTACACAACCGTTCTTTGTGTTGCATTTGTAGTACCTAGCAGCCTTTTGTTCCAAGCTCTTTGATAAACATAACTGAGGGCCTATTCACAGGCCACATAAGTGTTCTTTCATAAGATAGCATTTAGTTGCATTGACCTTGATGATTGAGCAAGTACAACATGAAAATTCTAGGGAAATTCACTTAGCTGTGCTGGAAGCCAATGAGCTGTTCCTGTAACAATTAATGGTTTGTTATAAGAGTGGGTTTTAAGCAACTTTTTTTAGGTGTATTTATTTTGAGAGAGCATGCACATGTGGGGGAGTGGGGAGAAGAGAGAATCCCAAGCAGGCTCCAGGCTGAAGCTCAGACCCTGATGCGGGACTTGATATCCTGAACTTGGGAGGTCATGATCTGAGCCGAAATCAAGAGTCGATGCTTAAACTGACTGAGTCCCCCCTGGCGCCCTGGTTTTAAGCAACTTTTTAAAAACTTTTCTTCGGACCGTAATTAACATTCCCTTGATTGGCGAATGGTTCTTTCAAAAGTGAGGTTTGCTTGGGGATTTAGCAGCTTTCACCTTTGGTTAAGAAAACTTGAATTCTTCCTCTGGGGGATCTGGACTAGGAAGAAACCAATCCTCCGTTTCTATAATAGTGACTGAGATTCCTATCCTTGCAGGCTAGATAAAAAGGTCAAGGATTTCTCTTGTGACAAAGGGTTGAGGGGATGATGGAAAGATTAGTGAAGGTACTACAATGAGTTTTTCATTGTGTAACATAAAATTTCATCTTTGCATCCTCATGGAACTTTGCTACCTTTTTGCCTACTTCTGGAATGGCTGTTTCTCTTCAGCTTCTTGAAGCTGGTTCATCAGTGACTTAAATGAAGTGGATCAGATGGCAAGCTTTTGCCTACAAACTTATTTTGAAGAAGTTCAAAGAATAATCTGTACACTTAGGGGCGCCTGGCTGGCTCAGTCGGTAGAACCTGCAACTTTTGATCTTGAATTCAAGATCAAGCCCCACAGTGGGCTTAGAGCTTACATTAAAAAAAAAACAAAACATTGAACACTTTCTACTCCCCACCTAGATTTAACAGCAAACATTTGCTGAGCCATTTGAAAATAAGTTGGTACACCTGACACTTACTCTTATTGTGGCTTACATGTCCTAAGAACTAAGATGTTCTCTCTCAATCACAAGGATTGCAATCCATTATCATACTTAGAAAATTTGACCTTATTTCTCTAGTACCATCTGATCCTTAATAAAATAATTCAAACAGTGCCGGTTGTACCAAAATCAACATCGCCAGGTTTTCCAAACTGGATCTAGTCAGGGTATGTAAGTTGTGTTTGGTTGATAAGTTTATTTAGACTCTATATCTAACAGTTCCCTACCTTTCCCCCTCATAACCATGGGTTTTTGGTTTGTTTTTGAAGAGACCAGAGCAGTTTTCTTGAATGTCCTGTATTTACTAATTATTTTTTTCTTCCTGGTGTCACCTTATTTATGTCTTCTATTTTTCCTGCTGTAGAGTCCTGATTATTAGGTCCAGCTTGAACTTGTTTTGGCACGACTATTTTAAAAGTATGAATGTTGCATTTCATTAGTTTTACTTTTCATACAGACCTTTATCGATCGTTTAAGACTACTATTTTTCCTTGCAGTGGTACGTGTTTCTCTTGAAAATTTAGTTATCGGTCTCCATCCCCAGTATCTTTTCACGTAATGCTTTTAGCACGTATTATGCCTTGTTCAGATGTTGCTTTGAGTTCATAAATTTGTTGTGCAATTGCTAGGGATGTAGAATGTAATCTCACTAGCTCAGCAAAGCCAGGTTATACCCAGAATGATGCCGGGTACCCCAGACCATAGGTTCTTCATAAATGTTAAGTATCTCTAAAAAAGCCACAAAAGGAAAAGTTGGTTTTCTTGATATAAATTATAGTCCTGTTTCTGTTGAAGTTGTGGAAACAAAACTTCTAAAACCATGTGTGTGTGTGTGTGTGTGTGTGTGTGTGTGTATACACACACATAATATACGTGTGTATATATATATATATATGATTTTTCATGTTAAATGTTACATGAAACCTGTTTTTATTTTTTTTTTTTTTTTAAAGTTTTTTTTTCACCGTTTATTTATTTTTGGGACAGAGAGAGGCAGAGCATGAACGGGGGAGGGGCAGAGAGAGAGGGAGACACAGAATCGGAAACAGGCTCCAGGCTCTGAGCCATCAGCCCAGAGCCTGACGCGGGGCTCGAACTCCCGGACCGCGAGATCGTGACCTGGCTGAAGTTGGACGCTTAACCGACTGCGCCACCCAGGCGCCCCTGAAACCTGTTTTTAATAGCAATTCTAGAGTCGGGGTCAGATGCTTGGGTTTTCTAATCATAGCAGAGTATGAGACATTTTTTTCTGGGAAGTGTAGTGGTCCACCTAGCTTGAGGTAGAAAGCTTATTTAATAACCTTGAAGTTGAACATCCCACCTAACTTAGATATGCATAGCAAAGAAAACTACACTTTTAGGTACTATTTTAAAATGTTAATTTGACTGGTCTTTGCATTCTTGGTGTGACACTTTATCTTATTTTTAAATTATTTAAAAAAAAGTATTTTAGGGGTGGCTGGGTGGCCCTGTTGGTTAAGTGTCCCAACTTCAGCTCAGGCCATGATCTTACAGTTCGTGAGTTTGAGCCCCGTGTCAGGCTCTTTGTGTCAGGCTCTGTGCCGACAGCTCGGACCCTGGAGTCAGCTTTGGCTCTCTCTGCCCCTCCCCCATTCGTGCTCTGTCTCTCTGCTTCGAAAATAAAATTTCAAGAAAATTAAAAAAAAATTTTTTAATGTTTATTTTTGAGACAGAGAGACAGAGTGAAAGCAGCGGAGGGGCAGACAGGGAGACAGAATCTGAAGTGGGCTCCAGGCTCTGAGCTGTCAGCCCCAGAGCCCAATGGGGGGCTTGAGCTCACAAACCGTGAGATCATGACCTGAGCTGAAGTCGGATGCTTAACCGACTGAGCCACTCAGGCACCCCCAAAACGTTTTTAATACAGAGTATGCACCTGTGAACGGGAGGTGGGGGAGGAGAGGAAGAGAGAATCTCAAGCAGGCTCCACGCTGAGTGTGGAGCTGAAGCAGGGCTTGATCCCGTGACCCTAGAGATCATGACCTGAGCCAAAATCAGTAAGTGGATGCTCAACTGACTGACCCCCCCCAAATTTCCCTTCTTTTTAAAGTTTTACTTGAGTAATCTCTACACCCAACATGGGGTCAAACCCACAACCCCAAGATTGAGTCATGTGCCCATCAGACCGAGCCAGCCAGGCACCCCTTGCTTTGATACTTCCTTCCTTTTCCTATTGTAGATAAGTCCAGAATTCTCTCTACACAACCGATATGCTGGATTGCGATGATGGAGGTGATTTCGTGATGCACTGGTTACATCTGAAGCACGTCTGCTTTATTCGGAGTCTCGTGCAGCACTGTACTCCAATGTACAAAAACTTGCACGTACTGCTTTGATGAGTATCAAAGGGCATTGGGTAGTCGATTTCAGGAAACGTTTAGGTTCTGCTGTCTGGTACAGGTGCACTTGTAACCTTGTGCACTTAAAGTCCCCCAAGGTAAAACCTTGATATTTGGGGGGAGTTCAGTGTTTGGTGCATACTTTTACCATCTGTCTCTTATTTTCTGTTTTGGATGTGTTTGCTTTAATATGCATTAGTATTTGTTGTGGCAGTCTAAGCTAATGACTTTTCAAAGTTCTCTAAAAGATTCGGAGCACGTGGTTTTCTTGTTGGATTCTGTTATGTCCTAGGAAGCATTAGACATCGTATTTCCTGTGTGTGACCTGAAGTGCCGGGGTACTGTTGTGAGTCTGGTGTGCTTGCTGTGTGGAGCGAGCGACTGTGAAGCAGTGAAGCAGGAATCTTACCAGCCTCGTGGCTGGGTGCTGGTAGCCGCTAGAATTAGGCTTGCAGGCATCTAGGTCTAATTTGGGTGGGTCCCTAAGCTATTGGTGTTTTGTAAGCTTCTAGATGATTCTACGGTACCAGTGGGTTGAAAACCACTGGGGTACGTAACTGAGGTCATAGCCCCAGTGGTGCAGTTGGAATTTGAAAACTCAGTCCTGTGCTTATGCTCTTGGTTACAGGGGTTTATATGTAATTACCCTTTCTTGCTTGCTTTAGAACTGAAAGAACATTCGTTAAACATACCTGCTTCACATCTGTTCCATTTTCAACCCCACAACAAACCTTTTACAAGGAACGTAGCTGCAATTCTGTTGAGTAGTGTGGATGCATTTTAGTCTTGATATTTCCTGATCTTTTTTCTCCCTACTATTGTGGTTCTTGGTTTTCAGCACTGCGTTTTTCTTGGTAGTTACTTTGCAGTGTGACCCACCAACCAAGGGCCTAGAACTGGACGACTCTTGTCTCCCCAGGGAACATTGTTAAGTGACCAAGCAGAAACAGAGTTAGTTAATTCAATGACTTCTCAGTATGAATTTTTCCACTTCAATTGAGATGGACTTCTTTCCTAAGTGTGGCTACTTCGTGGCTTTGTCTTCCCAGAGTAACCATCCTTTTCCCTTAGGTTCATTTCAGATATTCTTAGTTGCAGTTCGCTTGCCTTCTTGTGCCCCAAATAATGATAGTCATAGGAGCAACGGTATCACAATGGGACCTCCACTTAAAGTGGGTGCAAGTGGAATAGAACGAGGGACAGTTCCCTGGAAGGAGAATTGGGATCTCCAGTCATTCTGCCTGTATATTTATACTTCATGGATCAGGCCACCATGAGCAATGCAATAGGCAAATGTGCTTGTTGCTTAGCTGATGCACCTGCCATTTGTGAGGCAGCCTTATCTGATCACTGGAGCTCTTAAGAGCCTTCTCATCAAGAATTGATTGCACCTGGTTGAATGGCTCAACGTCAGAAGATTTTTGGCTAATCTAGGTATAAGGCCACTTGGATGGGCATTCATTCAGTGCTTCCACGTGGTATTTTTAATTGGGAAGGGTCAAACTATATTTGTACACATTACATGGTGTTAACAGGTGAGGTGACACTTCTCTCCAAGCTGTGGTCACTTGTCCACTAATATTTTTGGGCGATAGTTTCTACACAGTGAACCTGAACAGATGTGGCAGAGGTCAGAGCTTATAGATTTTTCTTTTTTCTAAATCGGACAAAAATTCAAGGGTAAGATTTTTGTTTTTTGAAATTTTAAACTACAGCTGAGAGCAGAAGCAAAAACTGGTCATTGGCCTAAAACCTTTGCTGATTCTCTCTTGTGAATGGAAGAGAAAGTCTATTCACTCTAGTATTTTCATGCCAGTTTGTAGAATTAGCTCACAGTCATTCTAGCTGCCAAGTTAATATCAACTTCTTACAAACGTGTTTCATTAACTAGGTTTCTGAATCAGATCAACCAAAAAAATGCCTTGGAATTGGAATATTTGTAAAGTGGTAAGTGGTAATGTATGGAGAAAACGTGAATTTCCCACTTGATTTCATTTTAATTTTTTCTAGTTGGTTTGTTGGATCAGGATCCAAATGTTCTATATACATCGCATTTGGTAATGTCTTATATTTGTAATAGTTGCCTGTCCTTATTGGAAAAACAAATTGAGGAATTCCTAATGACTTGCATTTGGCTGATTGTATTCCTGTCGTATTGTTTCATACGGTTTTATCTCCCCGAGTTTAGTAATAGATCTAGAAGCTTGATTATATTTTGATTATTTTTTTAGGCTAGATACATCATAGTGGGTGCTGCATACTTCCTTTTGCATCGTATCAGGAGGTAGGTAATGTCAGATTGCCTTACTTTTGATACTAAGCTTGGTTAGTAGATTCTAGTGATTTCAGTGTTTTCTATCCATTATAAAGTCTTCCATCAACGTTGCATCAAATAGTTTTAGCAGCCATGGATGATAAACATCTACACTGATACTTTAGTCATAAACAACAAATTAGTGAAAGGACCTTAAATTTCTTAAGGCAAGTCCAGAATAGAAGACCCCAAGAATTAATATATGTGACTTCTAAAAGCTGTGCAAGTTATCTAGGGTGACTGGGTGGCTCAGCCAGTTAAGCATCTGACTTCAGCTCAGGTTACGATCTCGCTGTCCAGTCCGTGAGTTCAAGCCCTGCGTCGGGCTCTGTGCTGATAAGCGTGGATCCTGGAGCCTGCTTTGGATTCTGTGTCTCCCTCTCTCTCCACCCCTCCCCACTTGTGCTCACTCACTCTCTCCCCAAAATAAATAAACCTTAAAAAAAATTTAAAAAAGCTGTGCAAATTATCTTGCACTTTTTCCCCCAAGGTCTGTTGGTACTGCCGTATCTGTGCCTCCAAAAACCTGATTTTAGCTTCACGGCCTTGCTCATTTTTGAAACAGTGGCATCATGCAGCCAATATGGGCTGTGGTGTCAGACTTCACTGGAATCTCAGTTCTAAGTCTGTTGTTGGCTTACATTTGAAACAACAAGATTTCTAAGCTCCACTTTCCTCATCTGTAAAGTGAGAAAACCTTGTATTTATTTTGCAGGATCACTATGATGGATTACATGAGACATTGGCAAAGGGCTTAGCACTTACTGGAATAATAAATGGTACATACTATTTTTATGCAAACTTCCTACAGTGCCACCAGATTGCCGCATGCCAACTGAGAGGAATACCTCTCAGGATGTTTGGCAGGTCTGAAAGAATACCTGGCTGAACCAGTTCAGGGACACCTTTAATGTATGCCACTAACTCCTGAGCCTTTGGAAGGCAGCAGATGGTGCTATGAATGAAGCAGGTCAGCTGGGAGATGGGGGAGGTGGTGCTGTAGAAAACTCTGGAGAACAGCCCACATCCCTCCAGGGACAACAGCTACTTGGCTCCTCCTGATTGAGAGATTCTCTAATGATCTGGTGCAAGGAGGAGCAGTCTACTATTTTATTACTTTTTTAGTAGTCTATTTTAAACTTTGATGCATACTCTGTTAAACCAGAGCAACATTTTGAAAATCGGTTTTTCTCAGGCATTGAGGCCTTGGTTCCAAATATGTCCAAAATTTAAACTTTGAATAGAAATTTAATCTGGTTTTGGGATGCCTGGGTGGCTCAATCGGTTAAACGACTGACTCTTGATTTCGGCTCAGATCGTGATCCCAGTCATGGGATCAAGCCCCATGCACCGAGCGTGGAGCCTGCTTAAGATTCTCTCCCTCCTGCCTCTTTCCCCCTTGCGTGCTTGCTCACTCACTCTCTCTCTCTCTCTCAAAATAAACTTAAATTTTTTTTAAAATCTGGTTTTGAAATTTTCAAGCAGAAACACTACAAATACCATGGTTTAAAGTTTTACTAAGAACTTTACATTTTTTCTGCCTTTGTGATGTTCCAGTCATACACCTTCCTAAGGATCTTAATAATTCTACCATATTCCATTTTTTCAAAAAAAAATGTTTATTTTGAGACAGGGAGAGGAAATTGCAAGCAGGCTCCATGCTATCAGCACAGCTGACAGCACAGAGTCCAATGTGGGGCTGATTGCACTAACTGTGAGATTATGACTTGAGCCAAAATCAAGAGTTGGTGGCTTAACGGACTAAGCCACCCCGGTGTCCCTACCGTATTCCTTTTTTAATGCTTTTCTTGAGTATAAGCAATCAGATGCAGGAGAAAGTGGATGTCCTCTCATCTCAGGTTGTCAGTGGGAGTTTCTGGTATTTGGGGCTGGTTAGCCCTAGGTTAGGACAGAATTCCAAAGGTGATTAAAATCAGATTCTGGAAGTGAGGCTGAATCCTCTTTTTTTTTTTTTTTAACATTTATTTATTTTTGAGAGCTAGAGACAGAGCACAAGTGGGGGAGGGGCAGAGAGAGAGGGAGACACAGAATCTGAAGCAGGCTCCAGGCTCAGGGCTGCCTGCACAGAGCCCGACGCGGGGCTCGAACTCCCGGACCGTGAGATCGTGACTTGGACCAAAGTTGGATGCTTAACCAACCAAGCCACCCAGGTGCCCCAAATCCTCTTTCATAACAGTTTTTCTTAATACGGTCGTATACAACAGGTCTAGCCCCTATCTTTCAAGCACATTAAAACAATTTTTTAAATATTTATTTTTGAAAGAGAGCACGAGTTGGGGAGGGGCAGAGAGAGGGAGACACAGACTCTGAAGCAGGCTCCAGGCTCTGAGCTGCAGCACAGAGCCCAATGTGGGGTTCAAACTGAGACTGCACGATGAGGACCTGAGCCGAAGTTGGATGCTTAACTGACTGAGCCACCCAGGCGCCCCCCTTCAAGCACATTTAAAGTGTTTGGACCCTTTTTTCTAGAAGCAAAGTGGTCTTGCAATATTTTTTTAATATTAGACCACAGGTGTTGATCAGACCTTTTTGTTCTTTGTGTAGTTTCTACATTTTCTGGATTGTTTAGCTGATTTGGGACATTTTGATTCAGTTCACGGGCGAAAAGTACACATGTATATAATTATAAGTTCCTTTAAAAGAACTTCATGTTCATATCTTTGTAACTAGTTTTCATACACTCTTTTTAAATTTTTTTAAACCTTTATTTATTTTTGAGAGACAGAGCACAAGCGGGGGGGGGGGGGGGGGGCAGAGAGAGGAGACAGAATCCGAAGCAGGCTCCATGCTCTGAGCTGTCAGCACAGAGGCCGACGCGGGCTTGAACTCACAAACCGTGAGATCGTGACCTGAGCCGAACTTGGATGCTCAACCGACTGAGCCACCCAGGCGCCCCTCATATGCTTTTTTTCTTAAGCTCACTTATTTATTTTGAGAAAGAGCGTGCAGGGGAGGGGCAGAGAGAGGATTGCAAGCTGGCTCTGCCTTGTCAGCACAGAGCCCAACATGGGGCTCGAACTCCAGAAATGTGAAATCATGATGTGAGCTGAAATCAAGAGTCTGATGCTTAACCGACTGAGCCACCCAGATGCCCCTGTATATTTTAACGTAGCAAATTGTGAACCCGTGGACTTTTACAAATTACTTTTTATTATTTTATGCTCATATTGTCACATCCTTATTTTCTGCTAAGGACAGCATTCTACAAGATCCATTCTGGGTTGTTTTTTTTTTCTGCCCCAAGTGAAGGAATCAATCACTGTATTAGTTTCCTGTTAATGATGTAACTTAATCACACCCCCAAAGTCCTTTGGCCATGTAAGGTAACTCCCAGGTTTTGGGGATTAGGACATGTACATCTCTGACAGGGCATTACTCTTCCTACCTCAGTCTGGCTTCTGGCCCCTAAAGATTCACAGTCATCTCACATGCAAAATGCATTCATTTCTTCCCAGCATCCCCCAACGTGTCAACCCATTATACACCAAAGAAAAAAACCTCCCAACTCTCAGCTCCAAAGTCCAAGTCTCATTGTCTAAATCAGGTCTAGGTAAGAGCTGAGCATGATCTATCGTGGGGCAAAATCCCTCTCCATCTGTGGTTTTATAACAGGTTTTTAAGTGATCTGCTCCCCAAATGTCAATGGTAAGATAGGTATTGGACATCAGTAATAGACATGGTCCTTCGAAATGGGAAGAAATGAAAGGGAAAAAGGAGTCACTGGTCTCAACCAATTTAAAAATCTAGCTGGGCAAACAGTGTCCAGTTTAAGGCCTGAGGGTATTCTCCGGGCTCAAGCTGCCTTCCTGAGTCCTCCCTTCTTTTTCATGAAAGGTAGTGCTTGTTCATAACTGAGTAGTTTTGTCAGCTTGTTTCCTGCTTACAGAATTTCGGGAATTTAACAGACTTCTTTAATTTGATCCTTTCTCCATCCCTCCGAGTCCAGGCTGGCAGTGTTTCGGCTGGTATAAAAATTCTCAACCTTGATCTTCTGTGGATGTCACGGAAATTCACTTCATTGGACAAGAGGTGCCTCCACAGAACTTTCCTGGGTAATCCCATCTCTATTCCTGGGTTCTGCTGAGATGGTTGAGAGTATTCATGAGTCACACGCCTAATCTCCTAACCTATCTGTGTGGACAAATATGACCTTTTGGTCATTCTGAGGCAGTAGAAAAAGGGGGCTCAACCACACCTTGGCTTTTTCTCCAGAGCACGCTTCCCTGTGAGTCTCCTAATTTTAGCATCTTTTGCAGTGTGGATAGGCTGAGATTTCTGCATTAAGTTCAGGTTCTGTTTTAACCGTTCTTCCCTAGATTTATCTCTTTGCTCTTGCATTTTACTATAAGCATCAAAAAGAAATGAAAAAAATCCCTTCAGCTAAATATCCAAGTTTGTTATGTGCAAGTTCTGCCTTCCACATAACTGTTGGGTACAACTCAGCTATGTTTCTACCATATAAGGGTTCCTCTTTCTTCCAGTTTCCGATAACATTACCCAATTCCTTCTGAGCCCTCACCAGCTGTGCTTTTAGTGTCTGTATTTCTATTCACAGTCTGTTTATGTATTCTCTAAGACTACAGATTTTCTATTAGGCTCTTCACTTCCTTCTGAGTCCTCACTGACAGAATTGTTAACATTCATGTTTATAGTAACAATCCGTGGAAAGCATTCTATCATACCCATAATTCTTCCAGCCTGTGTCCATTCTTCAGTTCCAAAACCACTTCTACATCTTAAGGTATTTGTTACAGTAGCACTCCACTTCCAGGTACCAAAATCTGTTTTAGTTTCTATATTGCTGTTGTAACAAATTACCACAAACTTAGTGACTTCAAACACTTTGAATTATTACACTTCTGGAAGGCAAAAGTTGGAAATGGGTTTTACAGGACTAAACGGAAAAAACAGGGCTACTTTCCTTCTGGAAGCTCTAAGGGAGAATCCTTCCTTGCCTTTTCAAGCTTCTAGAGGATGTCTGCATTCCTTGACTAGTGGCCACTCACTCCAACCTCTGCTTCTGTAGTCATGCTTTCTTGGACTCTGATCCTTGGTCTCCTTATAAAGATCCTTGTGGATGATACTGGGGCCATCGAGTAATCCAGGATAACCTTCCCCTATCCCAAGATCCTTAACTTAGTTACAGCTGCAAAGTCCCATTTGCCATGTAAGGTGATATGTTCACAAGTTTTGGGGATTGGAATGTGGGCATCTTTGGCCAGGGGTGGGGGAGGGGGTGCTTGCCTGCCACACCTGCTCTCCAATGCAGTATTGAGGTCCTTAAATGGGTGCTAGGGGACACATGAATGAGTGTTGCTAGGTGAAACTACTACCTCTGTTGCTTGTTGGGTCAGACAGAACTGGAAAATGTCTTTTTAATGTAAAGAGGGTTTTTTCCCCCTACCCAATTAAATGTATTGCATTAAATGTATTACATGCTCACAACATGGACTGATTTAATATTAAGGTTTTTCACTTGTATTGACAATTACTGTGCAGGCATGTGGGTTCAGTGTTGCCTCATATCAGGATTTCTGTGTGAGGTTTTCTAGTTCTTATAACATGATACAGGGCAAAGCAACGCTGTAGGCCAAATTCAGCCTGCTGGCCAGTTTACAGCTGTGGTCTTATGGATTAGTGATGTGATCTAATGATAGATCGTTGATTGTGGATGCATAGGTAGATAAGATATATATGACTGATACTGGGATATGAGTACAGAAAGTCTTAGCACTACAAATATGCTGTTCAAATTTACAGGGTGGCTAAGAAACACAGCATTAAGTTGAGGCTGTTGGCACAAAAATAAGGCAGTTTAGTGTCACTGTCTTTGCTCCTTTATTTGTTTAGCCATGATATCTCACATGCCAGACCTATAGGGTGGAGATAAAAAAAAAAGATAGGATTCCAGTCGGGCAAGACCTGTAAATCTTAAGTCTGGTGATTTAAAGACTAACAAAGCTAGGGGCGCCCAGCTGGTTCAGTCAGAAGAGCGTACAACTCTTGATCTCAGGGTTGTATATTTATATAAGTAAGTAAGTAAATAAATAAATATATGTATATATAAATAAATAAAAGGCTAACAGAGCTCTTACAAAGCCCCTGAGCCTCCCAGCTGTACATGGAGTTGGGTAAGGCCACGTAATAGATTTGACTGCCGATCATGGGGTTTTGAGTTTTGAAATACTGAGAAGTTTACATAGATCTGTTCTGAGCACCTTATATGCTGTTCCCTCTTTTTAATAACAGGTCTGTAAGGCAAGTGTCCCAATTTCATGAGTGATGAAAAATGAGAACAGAAGGGTAAATACTACTATGTCAATTTCACAATAGAAATGAAACAGGTTGTGTAAGTCACCTAAGGCCACAGAACTACTAAGTGGTGGAACTATGATAAATCCAGGATGTCTAAATTGTCTCAGATGATAAGTAGGCATAAACAGGGAATATTTGCAGAGTGGACGCAGGGTGCTGCAGGCAAAAGGAACACTATGGGCAAAGACAGGATCATTGTGCACGCAGCAAGGACATTAGCAGACTGTGGCAAGATAAATGGTATCATCAGGATGCTCTTAGTTTTAAGTACTGGTAGGTCTGACTTGTTCCAACACTAAAGAGAGTTTATTGGTCTATATAACTGAAGACTGAGCGGTGGGTGTGAGTTGCTGACAGCAGCTTCTGGTATTACATTTGCTCTGCGTCTAGCAGGATGTATTCTACCCAGCATTGCAAGCCAAGTCCTGAGACTGAACTTTGGGTCAGCTTGGGTTTGTTTTGTTTTGTTTATTTGTTTTGATAGAGCATGGGAGGGGCAGAGAGGGAGGGAGAGAGAATCCCAAGCAGGCTTCACCCTGTCAGTGCACAGCCTGATGCGGGCTCAATCTCACAGTTGGCGAGACCTAAGCTGAAATCAAGAGTCAGATGCTTAACCAACTGCTTGGGTTTTCAGTCCACCAATCAATATTCATAGGGAGATAGTATGGATTGTTTAGCTTAACCTAGCTCTTTCATTCTGCTCTTAAAGCTGGGCATGCAGTTCCCTTCCCCTGAACCGTAAGATCCCCAAATGTAATTCAGGTAAGCGGGTAGGGAGAATGGATGCTGGAAGGACAATCAATACAGGTAATGCCTCTTGAATCCTGTTATATATGATCTCTGTATCCTAGAGTCAGGGATTTAATGGACAAAGATACAGAAACGTGAGAAACTTCTGTCTCACAAATACTCAACTTGAGTGAGAAATGACCTTGCTTGTTCGGGAACAGATGTTATTTATGGTAAAGGTTAACAAAGGTAACAAGACTCCCAAATGCAGCAGCTTACACAAGACTAGGTTTGTTTCTTGGGGCACCTGGGTGGCACATTCGGTTGACTGTCCGACTCTTGATTTCAGCTCAGGTCATGATCTCGTTTCAGCACAGGGCTCTGTGCTGACAGCGCGGAGCCTGCTTGGGATTCTCCCTGTCCCTCACTCTCAATCAACATAAACATTAAAAAAAATAAAGTTTGAGAAGCAAAACTATTCCTCTCAACGCTTATATTAAAAAAAAAAAAAAAAAAGACCATGTTTATCTCATTTCACAGGGCTAGATGTTCCAGAGCTGGGAGTGTAGCATCCTCACAATTCAGTTCTTCCATTTCTGAACTTGAGGTGGCTGTTGGCCATAGTCACCTCTCAGCCGTGAAGGGAAAAGGGCAAGGGAAAGGCGTGTCCATACTTTTCATGGCATTGCCTATGTGGCATTTATTCCCTCCATTCAATTCCCATTGGCGGTTATATAATCATAAACCCACAATTAGCTGTCAGAAGTGGGAAGATGGGAATCTAGTTGGGTGGCCATATGCCCAGCTGAAATTTTAAGAACTTGTCCTTATCACCGCTCAGACATGAGATCCTGGTGTATATTCTGAGTACATGTCTGTCCTGTCTGATCCTGAACCACATGTCAGCTGCTTTCCCCAGATGGCTTGTGCCTCCTGGGTGAAGCTGAAGTGCCCATCATTGGTTACGCCCTCTGGTAGAGAAGACACCATGGCCGAAGCTGTAACTGGCTTAATTTGCTACTGTCCTTTACCTGAATTCCACACAGTTCTGGACACCATATGGGGATAGCCACCAGAACCGTACGTATCAAGTGGCCTCTCCCGCGTCCCTGGGTCCTTGTCTGACGATCTCCTGATCCCAGCAACGTGCCCATCACACACTGATTGACCGCATCTCTCTGGGTAATGACCCAAACCACCTCTCTAACCAACCTCCTCCTCCAAGTAAGTAGGCTTTTCTTCCCTGGGCCTTAAATTTCTTATCTTAAAAGAGGGTGACTTAAAACACTGGTCCAGCTCTGATTGAGCCTGGCGATTCCAGAAGAGCTCAGAAAAAGTTAAGTCCCCACGTAAATGACAGGGAAACGCGGAGGAATTTACGAAGCCCCGCCAGCTCGAACTCCTGGAGAACACTCGCTCTGACCTGACCAAAACGGCGTTTCAGCGCCTACTACCTGGGGCCTGCGGCTTCCACTTCTTGAGCTGCCTAACCTCTTACGAAGGCTGGGTTCAGCGAGCCCAGTCCGCTGTGAGGACTCAGTTCGTTCAGAGGCATGAGGACGAGCAACTTCCGAAAGGGCATGTTTGCTCTCAGCAAAAGAAATAAAAAGGGGGCCGGTGGGATGCGATCCAGAATGGCAACCGTAACCCCAAGCAGCTTACATTGAACCGCACCCGGTGTCCTCCGCTTCCGCAGTAGCGATAGTTAACCCAAGAAAATTTGCACTCGTTATCGCGAGAGCGAAACCAGCCGTCTGGAGCGGAGTCTAAGACACGTCAGTCTCACTACGCAGGCGCAATTTGCCAACGCCCCCAGTCTTCGTACGCGCGTGTCAGTGCGACGCCCGAACGCCTAGGGAAGGCAGTCCTACAAGAGCGCTTTTGCGTTTCCTCTTCCTCCTCTTGTCGAGTCCCATTTTCGCTTCCGGCCCCCAACTTCCGGTCCATCCCGTTTGTCCTTCCGACAGAAAAATCGGTGGTGCGGTCAGCTAGAGTGTTTCAGTTCCCGCCGGGGTCGGCCTCGCCCGAGTCAGTGAAGCTCCCGGGGCTGGGGCCGCGTGGCCCGAGGGCGGCGCCCTCACTGCCACCATGGTGAGTTGGGTGGGTGCGTGGTGGAGGGGGCGAGCGGGCGCGCAGTGAGGTCTCCCAGCCCCATTCGGTCGCTCGTGGTGGAGGGGTGCAGCCGGGCATCACTGCAGGCTTCAGGCTCCTTGTCTACCTGTAACTTGGGTTCTCTTCCTCTTCTCTTCAGCTGTCAGAATTTGGGGTGGGAAATGGGAACCTCGGAGAGCGGAGTTACCGTCTCCAGCACTGTTGTAATCTCGATGAAGCGCCTTATCTTATCGCCCGGGAAAACTAAGAGAGGTGCAAGGACCGGCAGCGAGTCACGGTGCCTGGCGTGGGCCCACTTGTTTGTCCCCAGGTCCCATACGGGGGATGAGCAGCGGGGGTGACAGTATGTTTCTGGGTTATTTGATTTTTGTCTCTTCTCTTCATCTCCCCCACAAGATGTAAACTTCACGGGGGTCGGTCTTTTCAACATTGCTTTCTTAGTGTCTAATAGTGGCTTTCTTAGGGGTGTGACACGTTGTAGGTGTTCAGTAACGATTGAATGGATGGCGTAGTGTTACTGCCTGAGGGTCTGATCTCTGTGGTCTGGAGTGGTTTGTTGGCTTCTCCATTGGTTCAGGAAGCACTCCCGACATGTCAGTGTGAGAATGCACCTAGCGCTGGTACAAAGAAGATGCTCATACATGTTAGTTACCATAATATTTTCATTAAGCGAAGCCCGCATAAGAAGCACAAGACACAGTAATGAGGTTATAGAAGATGTATTGCATGCTCTTGTAGATTAATGAGCCCAAGATCCCAAGAAGGGAAGAAACCTTCTTGGGTTGGAATCAGACCTTTCTGTGGGAGACTATATCCCAAATTACTGCTTCATACTGCCCTGCTCAGCCTTGAGGCTCGTCATTTCTGAACTCTAACAAACATAGGGAATCCTTCTGCCTATTCCCTAGCAGGGGAGAAGAATCCCTGGGCCTGGATATTTTTGGGTACAGGAGTTGTTGGGTATTTTATATCCCTGTCACCATCGCACATTCATATATGAGTGGGCTTACGTTACCCTGGGTACGTGCCCGTATCACACTGATTCATTGTTTGGTGGGGAAGTTCCAAGGAGCACCTACCGCGGTGTTTTAAGCATGCAGTAAACATTGAGAAACACTAAATTAAATATCTAGAATCTCTAGGATTTAGTAAAATAGGTAGGACACTGCCTCAGCCTTCAAGATGATGGCTTCCCCTGGGAGAGCTGCTTTGTTTTATCCTTAGTTGGTAATGTGTTCACGTATCCGCCAAGCTTTTGCCAAGTTTGTTGCTGTGTCCATTGTAGCGGAAGGCCAGGAAGGAGACTTACGTTGAACTTAACTTTTGCTGAGGCTCTAGAAGCTGCATACCTGATGTTTTTATGTGTTTATCTCTTAAGTCTTCATGACATCTCTAGGAGATAAGAGGTATGATCCCTGTTGTAAAGATGGGGAACCTGAGAGACTACTTCTCCGGGATGGTGAGTGGAAGAGTTGAGAGTAAAGTTCAAGTCCCTGACTTAGCGAGTACTCTTTCTACTTAAACTACAACCCAGAAAAACATGTTCTGTGCTTGACAGTGTTTCAGGGACAGTGGACTTGACACTTGTGTGACAGTAGTTACATAAAACTCCTTTTGGAAAAGCCAGTCTTTTCTTCCTCAAGTTCTGCTGGTTGGAAACAGACAGTTGGGATGCTGAGTGGAAAGGATCATGGTAGTTACAAACCCACACAAAAGGTAGCAGCCCAGTTGGGAAGAAGGGGCCACAGACGAACTTTCTGGGATGGCGATGACACAGGTGATACATTTTGAAGGATGGATAAGAGTTAGTCAGATCCAAAGGGTGGGGAGGGACAGTGGA